TTAGAACGAGATTTCAGTCTGACTTTGTCTTTAAAGCAATTGTTTATAGTCCATAACATTATTTAAACAACAATCTCATTCGGTATATCGATCCCATTATTTTTATCCATACATTTAAAAACACTAATGAAAAAAAAGTTCTCTGAGATAACTGTATGATATAAATCGTATATAACGAGTTTATCTTGTTTCATTTTCAAGCCATTGCATCTACTTCATTGCGCTAAAGCACCATCGCTTGCCATCGCATTATCACGTCATCGCACTATCGACCCAAAACCTCGATGGTTCGATGATGCTAGAGTGAACTACTTGGCCCCATCCGGATTCCACACCTAACCCTGGTACTTTGCAAAACCATAGTGCCAGGCAATACATGGTCAAAATATCAAATCCCAACTTCTTACTATCATATGGCATGTCAAACGTTGCAATATTCGATCTTTTCCATTTGTATTGTATCACTTTCCATTTGTATTGTATAATTGTCCATTTATATTGTATAATTTGCCATTTGTATTGTATAATTTTGATTTGGATTGTATAATTTATCATTTGTATTCTATAATTTTCCATTTGGATTGTATAACATTTATTTTCTTTATTTTCCATCTGCATTGTATATTTTTTTATTTGTATTATATAATTTTCCATTTGCTTTGTATAATTTTCTATTTGTATTGTATAATTTTTTACATGTATGCGATAATTTTTCATTTGTATTTTATTCGAGGGATTGTTTATTTATTTCGTTACGAAGGATTTCACCGGTCAAGTTTCAGTTTTTAGCTCACCTGAGCTGAAAGTTCACGTGAGCTTTTCTGATCACATTTTGTCCGTAGTCCGTCTGTCCGTCCGTCCGTCCGTCTGTAAACTTTTCACATTTTCGACTTCCTCTCCAGAACCACTGGGCCATTTTCAACCAAACTTGCCACAAAACATCCTTGGGTGAAGGGGGTTCAAGTTTGTTCAAATGAAGGGCCATGCCCTCTTCCAAGGGGAGATAATTAAGAATAAGTGAAAATTTGGTGTCCTCTTTTAAAAATCTTCTTCTCAAGAACCATTGGGCCAGAAAAGTTGAAACTTATGGGAAACCTTCATTACATAGACGTGTAGATTCAAGTTTGTTCAAATCATGACCCCCAGGGGTAGGGTGGGGCCACTATGGGGGATCAAAGTTTTACATAGGAATACATAGGAAAATTCTTTAAAAATCTTCTTCTCAAGAACAACAAAGCCACAATTAGTCATATTGATAAGAAATCATCCTCAGGTAGTGTAGATTCAAGTTTGTCCAAATCATGACCCCCAGGGGTAGGGTGGGGCCACAATGGGGGATCAAAGTTTTACATAGGAATACATAGGAAAATTCTTTAAAAATCTTCTTCTCAAGAACAACAAAGCCACAATTAGTCATATTGATATGAAATCATCCTCAGGTAGTGTAGATTCAAGTTTGTTCAAAATCATGACCCCCGGGGGTAGGGTGGGGCCACAATGGGGGATCAAAGTTTTACATAGGAATACTTTGGCAAATTCTTTTAAAATCTTCTTCTCAAGAACAACAAAGCCACAATTAGTCATATTGATATGAAATCATCCTCAGGTAGTGTAGATTCAAGTTTGTTCAAAATCATGACCCCCGGGGGTAGGGTGGGGCCACAATGGGGGATCAAAGTTTTACATAGGAATGTATAGGAAAATTCTTTAAAAACCTTCTTCTGAAGAACAACAAAGCCACAATTAGTCATTTTGATATGGAATCATCCCCAGGTAATGTAGATTCAAGTTTGTTCAAATCATGACCCCCGGGGGTAGGGTGGAGCCACAATGGGGGATCAAAGTTTTACATAGGAATATATAGGAAAATTCTTTAAAAATTTTCTTCTGAAGAACAACAAAGCCACAATTAGTCATATTGATATGGAATCATCCTTAGGTAGTGTAGATTCAAATTTGTCGAAATCAAGACCCCCAGGGCAGGGTTCGACACTAACGTTAGTCCGTTAGTCTCAGACTAATACATTTTCATTCGGACTAATAAAATATGTGGCTAATTAGTCCGAACGGACCAATAAAAATTTCTGTAAAACAATATGAATAAATTACCGATGTCGAATTCTCGACAACTTTTACTGGAAAACCCCGCGTGCATTTTTAGATTTCTAGCTTTTGGCGGGTAGTTACACAATACCGGGTCAATTCAGCGCTTAATTTTTCGACTGATCGGTATGAAGTATAAGGTTTTAGCGATCATGATTTAGTATGACACTTTCAAGAAAGATGTTGGACGTTTTGGATATAATGTAAAGGGAAAAAAAACGAGATCGGGAATACGATCGTACTTGCTGATTGCGAGATTTCAATGAATCCGTGGAATAATATATTTCACGTAAATACTTTATTTCAAAAAATAATACATATATTAATTGTCACGTTAAGTTAATGTTAAAAAACAAAGATGTTTCTTTCTTTTTTTTGACGGACTAATAAAATCGCGTGCCGACTAGTAAAAGTGATGAAGCACTAGTCCGGCTGGACTAAAGCCTTAAAAAGTTAGTGTCGAACCCTGCGGGGGTAGGGTGGGTCCACAATGGGGGATCAAAGTTTTACATAGGAATAAATAGGAAAAATCTTTTAAAATCTTTTCAAGAACAGGAAAGTCATTTTGATATTGAAGCATCCCCAAGTATTGTAGATTCAAGTTTGTTCAAGGCATCCTCCAGTAGTAGGGTGGGGCCATAATTGGGGATCAAAGTTTAACAAAAGAATATATATAAGAAATATCTTAAAAAATCTTCTTCTCAAGAACAACAAAGCCATAATTAGTCATATTGATATGGAAGCATCCTTAGGTAGTGTAGATTCAAGTTTGTTCAAATCTTGAACCCCCCCTCCCTTCCTACCCCCCAGGGTAGGATGGCAGACATCTTTAAAATTCCGTTTCAAGAACAGCAAAACCATGATTAGTTATATGAATATAGAAGCATCCTCAGAAAGTTTAGATTCAATTTTATTCAAAATATGGCAACTGGGGATAGGTTATGCCTAGAACAGTTGATCAATTTGAAAGCTTTACGTATGAATATTTAGAAGAAGAAATCTGCTGACAAAGAACAGCAGGGCCATATTGACTCAGGTGAGCGTTGTGGCCCATGGGCCTCTTGTTTTTCTGTAGTATAGTGTTCAAAACAAGCGAGATGTTTCGGGTGCCGAACACAAATTGGGCTCCTCTATTTGCGTGCATGCGGTCATTTAGTAGTCAAGGGGGGGGGGGGGGGGGGGGCTGGCAAATTTTGTCGAATCAGATTATTTTTTTTACATGCTCTTGCTGGAGAGAATATTTATGTCCAAGATGACTAAAGACAAGGAGAAGTAGAAAAAGAAAGTCTGTCCCGATAACTCCTTTTCTTTGGGGAGAGGGGGGTGGGGGTGGAGGCGTGTCAGGAACCACCAGTCAAGATCCCATTATTTATTTTCCCAGTCAGCATTCCTAAGGACAGATTATTTATTTGCCATCTGCAAGCGCTCCCTTTTAAGAATCTATCATATTGTAAATTTTGAATTTACTAGGGGGAGGTAAATGCAAAATCTACAACTTGATATAAATTTTGCATTTACTTCCCCCTAGTAAATTCAAAATTTACAACATGATAAATCAATTGGCCGTCCTTTAGCATGCACACAAATACATATAGGAGCTTAGTTTGCTTTGAACAACCAGAACATTTCGCTCGTTTTCAACGCGACACAGGATAAAACTTCTTAGTAACGAAACTATTAAACAATCCTCGGATACAATATACAAATGAAAATTATCGCATACAAAAAGAAATTTTACAATACAAATAAAAAATTATACAATGCAAATGGAATTTACAATACAAAGTGAAAATTATAGAATACAAATAAAAATTATACAATACAAATGAAAAATTATACAATACAAATGGAAAATTATAAAAGAATACAAATAAAAATTATACAATACTAATAAAAATTATACAATACAAGTAGAAAATTACAGGATACAAAATTAATGGAATATTTTACAAATACAAATGGAAAAGATCGAATATTGCAACGTTTGATATGCCATATCTTACAATCAGTGTGACCATTTAAGACAGAGGGACAGCTAGACAGACAGGACAGACGCACGGTAAAGTGATCTCTAAAAGTTTTTTTTTTTTTTTTTTTTTTTGCTCTGCAGGCGACACAAACATGTAGAACCTCCGTGGAATATACATGTATACTAGATACAAACATTGATGAAAACATGGGGGGGGGGTATTTATTACAATCACTGAACCCCGTGATCAGACACAGTTCCTTGAAAGTTATTTCATTAAGCTGATAGAAAACGATGATTTGTAACAAAATGCATGTACCTATATATATATATATATAGAGAGAGAGAGAGAGAGAGAGATACCCGTATATATATATATATATATATATATATATATATATATATATATATATATATATATATATATATATATAGATAGATAGATAGATAGATAGATAGATAGATATACCTGTAGGAACATAATAAAATGGACGCTAGCGTTATGATCGTATTCCATGTAAGCTTCTTCAAACCCATTTGAAACCCATTTTTATTGCATTATACATCACTTAGTATGTTTAAAATTGTTCTGTTATTAAGATTTTTTTTCGAATTCTCTGAGTTTAACATTAAGCAGCATTTGTCATCAAATTCTAATGATTAAACAAATTTTAGATATAATGGATAAAATTTGTGGATAAGTTTTATCAAAACAATTTATGATCTTTTAATTTCAACCTTAGCAACTAAATCCTTGTTATGTAGGAAGTCCCATTGTCCTTAAAATAGATTGTTTTCCCGGGTTTTCTTTCCTTTATATCTTTTAAATATCCCATTGACACCAGACACGGGTGACTGACTTTCTTTGAACTGTCGTGATGCAATATTTTTAAATACACACAATGCACCTCGCTGTGTGTTTTAAGCCATGAAATACACAATTTAAAACCCCTACTCAGTACTTGTCATAAGATGGATTGGCTGCCTCGTGTCCTGACACTTGCGACCTTTTATGTAATCGGTAAGTACATTTTATTAACCGCTTATTGATATATTTATCTGATCATTTTTGCTATCAAATCGGTATCAAACATTATAGGTAAATCCCATGACCTAAATTTCAAACTTCCTTCTTTTGATTCTTCTTCCATGTTTCTTCTCTGCTAATAATATTCTGTCCAGAATTCAACAGTTGTTGAAGAATACAAGCGTAATCTAGACTATAAAGCGGACGTGTTCCGCAATACAGTGTATCTGTTGTTACTAGTTTACTATTTCTAGCGATCACTATAGTATTATATTACTATCAGGAATTGATATTCGATGAAGCTTGAAGTTAACATGATTAAACATATTTTTATCTATTATTAGGTTGTGATTTGGATTTAATGTACTATTTGACACGTAACTGAATACTGTGGTACGAGTATTTCCTTTTTCTAGGAATTTATAGAAATTTTTTTCACATTTGATTTTACTGGATGGGTATACCTAAATATCAAAATCAGAAAAGATGTATTACGTTAAATTTATTTCCTTAATAAACATTGTGTTTAAATACGGTTTCAACCTGCAGACAGTTTGTAAGACTAGCGTTGTATATGTATGCCATTTGTAATAACATTGCGTAATTAAACACAATGCATAATATAATGCTTTGAATGTATTTATAGTCTAGCTATTGAAATATACTGTTTCTTGTAAGATATGAAGTTTGAAGTAAACGCAAAGCTAACAGCCTGATTAATGAAGAGATATGAGCAGGAAAACGACAAGGGGACAACAAACCAGATAGTCTTGCTTTTTCTTCACAGTTTTTGCAAGTGAAATTGTAAAGCAAAAAATAAGATTGTGATTTCCTTCCGATTTCTTCCTATGGGTTCTACCTTGTTTCAGCTTGTTTCAGTTTTTCCATATAATTGGCATATTTCAAGCATAATCAAGTTTCCCTCCTTTTTGTGTTTATGTAACTACTGAAATTGTATAACACTGCACGTGAAATATGCGAGTGACTGCCAAGAGAACTGCGTTGTGACAAACACAAATATTTAGATTCATCATAATTAGACCGTGAATTCCTTTTAAATATAGAAAAGACTGTATCCTATATCTCTAACCGAAATTATATTCTATTTAATTCTATCATTATCTGGAACAATCTTCTGAGGTGAAATGCTAGAACTTACTTCGAAAACACACCAAAAATCATATGAAACATTACTGCGCCCTTTTCAATGCATGAATAGATAGTTTCACAACTATATTACTTTATTGAATAATCAACTGTACTGCCAATACTACACAAAAAGCATAAATTTCAGCACATTGATTTTCGTGGAATTTACAATCATTTGTTATCTTCTTTTGTTATAGGGTCCAACGCTGACTGTTCATTCAATACAAACTGCACAGGTAAATTAAAACTCTTAATTTCTGCACATTAGAACTCATATAACTATATTATATAATAATATTTGTATTAAAGAAAAAGATAATTTATTAAGAGCATTTGTTTCAAAGAAATAATTGCCTAGTTTGTACATGTAGCATTAATTACTAGACTAGCAAAAAGAACCTTTATTAGCTGAAAATAAGCATTATTTAAAATATACATCCTTTATAAATCGCTTGAAATGTATTGATCACATTATCATTTAATACTGTAGATCCCCAAACCACGACCGTTACAGCGCGAAGTGATGATAAAAATTTCAGCTCGTGAGTATTCTAAAATCTCAACATACATTCGATTAATTGATTGAACATTTTTCAAAGAATGAATTTAAACTTTTTATATGATGATAATTAATATGTTCTTACTAAAACCATTGCATTTGCAGAGTATGGTCAACTTACCAAGTAGCGTTCTTTTTTGGAGTGTTTGTGTTGATTCTAGGCGTCTTGTGTGTGATTGTAATCAAACGGAAAGCAAAATTCGGGCAGCATTCTCGCCAACAGGGTAAGTTTCAATTAGATTAACATTTTCTCATTGAGAAGCCCGGCAAAAGTCTTTCTAAAAAAAAAAAACTATTGACCTCCCTGGATAAGAACTGATTCTTGTTGCCCTCGAACCCTGTCAATATTTAATATATAATTTTTGTAGGGAAACACGGTTGTGTTAATAAACAATTGATACGTGTAACATTATACATGTATATAATTTATACAAACCACATTACAGAACGTCAGTGTGGATTAATGACCGCTGCTATTTACGACATTGTAACTCAGAGTCAACGCACTAACACAGGAGCAAGCGGAAGTCCAGAAATTGTAGTGCATCCGGTGAAACCACCAAGCTATGACGAAGCCACGAAGGATTCTAATCAACCAGAGTGCCCGCCGCCATCATATAGAGAAAGTCTAAGGCAATCATTAAATGAATATCCCGAACATTTTTGTCGAAATATTAAATACTAGAAAGTTATAATAAAGTTTGTAGATTCTTTTTTTTTTTTTTTGTCAGATTTAACCATGATATGTTTATCTCCCATGGCAGTATTGATTTTTGAAATACATTTGCTATATCTCTGCTAAATTAAATTAGTTTCCCAAATGAAGACCTGAATTTAAAAAAAAGGAATCGTTTGAGAATTTTTTGTCTTAAGTGCAAAGAATGTGTACTGATTTGAAAACTTGTCTTATCTGAATAATTCTTTTTTACACGTGTCTTTAATTTTTGTATATTGATATGTTTGAGTGTTGATAATCTTTTTCATTGTGTATTATTTGAGGCAAGAATCAAGTAAATTGACAATCTTTTTGCTTGTATTAATGTGTTGCAATGAAAGGAATCAATAGTTGTATATAGATGTATATGTATAAATAATATTTATGTCAATTAAAAACAAAGATTTCCAGCATCAAAAATCTTCTATTCTCAAGATTTTTGCTGTGAACTTTTTCATTCTAAATGAAAGTTAATGAGGAAAAGACATTGCAAAATTCTTGAGCGTCTTAGTTGTTCATAAAAAGATGTGCGTCTTTTTTCTTCATAGTTATGTCTGTGTATGTTTCTGTGGATGTTTGTCTGTGTGTGATGTTTAGAGGAAAATAAATCAGCTTCATGTATATCTGCTAGTATACCAAATCTGTTTAATCTCAAGCTCCATAGTGTTTTCTGTGATGAAGTGTATATATTAATGTACCCAATTTGATATTGTCTTTGTTGCATTATATTAATGCAACCCATAATTTGTGTCGAAATAATACTTATGGTATCTATATTTCAGTATTTTTTATTAATGATGTGAAAGAAAATGTTATAGTAATGTACTAGTATTTAAATATTAATAATATTATACATATATAACCATATGCATAATGCATTGGGGTTTTTTTTTATCATTATATACAAATTAATTTATTATCATTCATTTATTTTTGATATTAAAGTTATTTATTTCAGTTTATTGTTGATTTGTATTTTCAAACAAAATCAGTAAGATTTTTGTTATTTATACTCGCAACAACGTGTCAAAATAATGAAGTGAGGGATTTTTGTATATTTCTTACTAGTTTATTTATAGTAATGCAAATGAAAATATCACGCTGAGACATAATAAAATGCAGTCAAATAAGCATCCAATATTTCCCTATACAAGTATTTTCTAATTTTCTAACACATTCCTATGCTTTTTCTGTATTTTTGGACAAAATTCTCCTTTATCTCATTTTGGTCATAACTTTGTTGTTCACATTTTTCAAATGGTTTCTTGATATATTGATGCAAAATAAACCTCTAAATTCAATTAATGATGTCAAAATTACATTATTGAAGGACACACGCTACAAACAAAAATAATGGATTGTTATGTATCTTTGAACTTATTTTGGTAGTAAATTATGCATATGAGAAATCTCTATAATTGTAGACTTATTATAATGTCTTCCTTTTTGACTTATATAAATCGATACAACTTTTTATCACTTTATATGACATTATTGAGAAACTGAATGAAAAATGTGGTGCGTATCATTACTGCTACATTTTCAAAATTGTCATTACCGCTACAGTCATACTCATTACCGCTACAAAAAAAGGTTACATTACCGCTACATTTAAAAGTATACATTACCGCTACATTGCCTCTTTCGTTAGCCAGCGGCTTATATTATGCATGTAGATTGATTTAAACTACATGTACATCCAGAAGACCTGTTTCCCTGCTCACCATGGGGAGGTGAAAGTAAGACTTTGAGCAGAATGTTTTTGTTTTCAATTTTTATTTAAAATCTATTTTATTTAATAAAACATTTTAGAAAGTGTTAAAACCGAGCATCGTTCATGGATAAAACACAGTTTTTACATAATTGGTAGAGCTTTGAAGACCATTTGCTTGACGTATTGCTTTCTGGAAATCTCTTACATGAATTATAATGAATAGAACTTATATTACCGTGTCATTGCTGGCTGATTCGATATATAGGGGTAATGAGTTGTAATCGGCAATAGTCTTATTGATAAAATGTAGCAGTAATGATCACCCGAAATTTCGAAGAAATGTAGCGGTAATGAGTTGAAATTTTTCGCATTGTAGCGGTTATGTTGACCTCCCGAAAAATGATTGATTAACTGAAGACTGCATGTTGTTTTACGTCCTATCCGAGAATTTTTCACTCATATATACCGGTGACGGGCTTCAAATTTTGGACCTTTACTCGGCACTCAGGGCCATTGAGCAGTGAGGGGTCCGTATCGTGCCAATGCCTACCGTGACACGGGCCTCAGTTTTTAAGGTCTCATCCGAAGGACTCGCAACTTTCACTTCAAAGTGCCGAGTGCTTGGCGAAGAAACAGTTGCTACCTATTTTTCTTTATCGACTTAAGTTAGTCGCGGCCGTGATTCGAACACACGACTTTCTGATCACGGAGCGAGTGCTCTACCGACTGAGCTACCGTGACGGTGGAATGAAAAATGAAACGACGTGTATATGTGGCTAAACTTATTCATTTTACTTATACATTCAGTGAACACAGATTTAGTTAATAATTTAATGATTTTTGAAAATTGTTTGTATAATTTTTCCTTAATATGGTTTTCATGTCTCCCAACTTATTCGATACATGAGCATTCTCTTATTACATTCATTTTTTTAATCGAGGCAAGCTACTGACAAATAAGCTGGTTTTACAAGGATTTTAACAACTTAATTTAAATTCAGCATTTCGTAAATTCTAAGGTCGTTATAATGGTCCTGTACAAATTTAACGTAAAACTGGATCGTATTTTGATTGACATGTCTCTTACCCATTATTCGACCATTCTTTTTTTTTATTAATTTGACTACGTATTACTTTGTCTACCTGATCAATGCATAGGATTTATGCGGGTGTGACCGGTCGACAGGGGATGCTTACTTCTCCTGGGCACCTAACCCCACCTCTAGAGTTTCCTGAGGTTAGTGTTTTATGCACCGTACACAAATTAGTGTTGTTTTAAAGAATATTGAGATCGATCACTGTTCGTTGTCTTCACTTTTTTTTTCATTTTACACAACACATCAAACCAGTGATATTTTGTTCATTAGTAAGTTTCAAAGATTTATATTTCTGGTTTGGTTTTTACAGTTGTCACAAACATTATTTTCAAAGTCTTTGGCTGAAATAATCAAAGATATTCAGGCGTACATACTAATTTTAAGGAACATTTGCAGCAATTACTTTTAAAAACCACTTACTGATTTCTGAAGTAGAATTACTTGATGTTCAAGTCAGTTTTAGTCGCCTGAGTTACTCAGTTGACCTATTCTATTCGTTTTCGTCTTGCAGCGTCCCTCTGTATTAAACTTTTGAATATTTTCAGCCTCTTTTCGTGTACAAATGAACCTGTTTCAACCACATTTAGTTTAAAGCATTGTTGGGTAAAGGGAAAGAAACGCTGTTAATTTCATTTCAAAAATCGAGGCCCCTGGATCCATGGTTCAAATCCCAAGAGTGACTAGGAACATCTTAAGTTTTTTCGTACGTATTGCATTACATATTGATATCATTTTCTGGAAAATTTGGTCGATTTTACATTAGAAAAAAAATGTTGATCTTGTTATGCAATTCACTTCGCATAGTTTATATAGCTATCACAATGGTTGTCTATGAACAGGAACTGTTTTTTTTAAATGCATATAAATGCTGTATCTCTTATTTACCTGAGCATAACAAACCTGTTTAATACAGTGCAAACGAACCGGTTGGTTGAACATGATACACTGTAAAGCATGCTCCTTTTGAAACATACGCCGAAGAGCCCATCTAAACTAAATTAGAAAAAAAGGTAAATGTTCATTTAAAAACATTAATGACACTGTCTATACACTGGTAAAACTGAAACTTTCTCGATAATGCCGAGTCCTTGTTCTCTTAAACATGTTTATCTTGTGTAACTGAAAAAGTAAGTCTGTAAGTCCAAATGCAAGGCAAAAGGTTCTTGATTTTATGGAAGATGGTGGTTATATTGATATATACAGACAGTTTCATCCAGACACCCAAAGATATACATGGAGGAAAAAAAATCCACTAAAACAAAGCAGGCTTGATTTCTTTCTGATCTCAGAAAATATATTACCAAGTGCAATAGAATGTACAATTGAAACAAGTTATAGGTCTGATCATTCCATGATTAGTTTATCATTATCTTTTAGTGATTTTAAGAAAGGTAAAGGTCTTTGGAAATTTAATAATTCCCTTCTGAGTGATGAGAATTTTCTTTATACTATAAATGAAGTAATTAAGAATGTTAAAAAACAGTATGCTGTACCTGTATATTTAATGGAAAACTTGCAACAAGTTAACGATGAAGAATTAACTTTTACAATAAATGACCAATTGTTTTTGGAAACCCTTCTCATGGAAATAAGAGGAAAATGTATTTCCTACTCCTCATATAAAAAGAAACTAACAAAACTAAAAGAAGAAAAACTTGTAGAAGAAATAAAACACCTTGAAGAAACAATACATACTACTGCTGACAATATTGAAACTTTAGAAGAAAAAAATAAGGAATTAGAAGATATAAGAAGACAAAAGATGAGGGGTGTTTTAATAAGATCTAGGGCAAGATGGGTAGAGGAAGGGGAAAAACCATCACATTATTTTTGCAACTTAGAGAATAGAAATTTTACAAGCAAGATCATTCCAAAAGTAGAAACAGAAAATGGTAACATTATTTATAAGCAGGACGAAATACTGAATGAAGCCAAAAAATATTATGAAAACTTATATAGAGATATAAATAATTCTATAAATGACATCAATCTTGATGATGAATTAAACTTTCCAAATATTGTTAAACTTTCAAACTAGAGTCCTTGGAGACAGAAGGTAAAATAACATTAAAAGAAGCTTCAGAAACACTCCACAATATGAAATCAAACAAATCGCCAGGATCAGACGGGTTTACATCAGAGTTTTTAAGGTATTTTGGAAATTTGTTGGTATTTTTGTTGTAAGGTTCATTAACTATGCTTATGAAAAAAATACTTTAAGTATCACACAAAGACATGGTATTATTACTTGTACACCGAAAGGTGATAAACCCAGACAACTTTTAAAAAACTGGAGACCCATCTCTTTACTAAATACTGTTTATAAAATCGCATCCGGCTCAATTGCTAATAGAATGAAAAAATATCTTGATAAAATTGTTCATCGAGATCAAACTGGTTTTATACAAGGAAGAAATATTTCTGAAAATATAAGACTGATATATGATATCATGCAATTTACAGAGGAAGAACATATACCAGGACTTTTACTCCTGGTAGATTTTGAAAAAGCTTTTGATTCCTTATCTTGGTCTTTTATAAAGAAATCCCTCAAATTTTTTAATTTTAGTAATTCCATTAGAAAATGGGTTGAGATTTTTTACACAAATATTACAGCTGCTGTTAATCAAGGAGGAAATCTATCACAGTCTTTTAACTTAAGGCCCTTTCACAATTGGCACACGAGCAGAAGCGACAGAATATTCGTGCGACCGAAAAAAATTGATGTGGATCGTAAACTGTTGCCAAAATAATCGCACATGAAAAAGTTTTCGTACGAAATTCGCACGATCTAAATCGACCGTTGTGCGATGCAAACGCATTAAATCTTGCGATATATCTTGCGTCTATATGCGACCGTTGTACAATAAAAGCGAGCGTTGTAAGATAATGCGATAGGATCGAGCGAGTGATCAGGTGATCGGACGATTGAACGTGCGCTAATGCGATTGGACGTGAGGCGCTCGGGCGATCATGCATTTCATGGAACGAATGCAAGTGCGAGTACTTTTAGGCAACACCCATCAGCCACGCAATTTTAAATTTAGAGGACGCGACACAGTGCTGC